AATAATATTTAATTATTAAGATAAATAGTTATTTATTTAATTTTTAATTAAAGGAAAGTTAAAAACTTTAACATTTTATAAAACTTATATCTTTTATTTAATTATACCTTTAAGTATTCTACTTTATTATTTTATATTTATATATTAAATAAAAAGTTTAATTTTATATTTTAATTTAAAATAGTTTTTAATATTTTAGTTTTAATTAAATATTTTATTATTATATTTAATAATTTTACTTTTATATTATATTAAAGTTTTATTATTTTAAAAAAAAGTTTAAATATTTTAAATATTATATTATTATTTTAATTTATTATATAATAATTTTATATATATTTAAATACTTTATATATAAATAAAATTATAAATTATAATTATAAATTTTAATTTATAATTATAAAAGTTTAATATTATTTTTATTTTTTATTTAAGATTTCTTTATAAATAATAAATTTATTTTATAATTTTAATTAAAATATATATTTTATATTAAATTATTATTAATTTATAAATTTATATTTTTAAAAGTATTTATTAAATATTCTAATATTTTAAGTTTAAAGTATTTAAGTTATTTATATTATAAAAGTTTTATTTATTTATAGTTTTTAATATTATATATTTCTTTTTTAAATATTAAATATAGTCTTTAATTTATAAATTAAATATTTAATAATATATTATTTATAAATATTTATAAATTTATAAAGAATTATTTTATTTTATTTTTAATATAATTAAATCTACTTTATTATTTTAAAAGATACTTTCTTTAAAGTTATTTTAAAAATATTAATATAATTAAAATCTTTAAATATAAAGTAATATTTTTATTTATAAAATAAATCCTTTAATATAAATTAATATTATATTATATATTATAATAAAAATTATTATTATTATTATAAATAATTATTATATATAATTATTTTAAATTAAATAACTTTTTTATAATTATTTATAATTAATATTATATTTATTAAATTTAATATAATTAAATATTTTAAAAGTATTTTTCTATATTTATAATAAAAGCTTTTTATTTTTATATTAATTATATAATACTTTAAGAATTATTTTAATTTCTTTAATTAATTCCTCTTTAAAAAGTTATAATATTTTTAATTTAAATTTTAATTTTAAACCTTTATAGTTTAAATTTTTATTTATAAGTTTATATTCTTTTAAAAGCTTTATATACTTTTTTAATAGTTTTATTTCTTTTAAGCTTTTAAAAACTTTTTAAAAATATAATAATAATTTATAAAATATAATTCTAATATATACCTATATAAATTAATAGATTTTTATTTTAAATTAATTATATTTTTAACTTATATAGAATTTATATAATTTATTTATACTTTATTAATTAAATTTCTTTTCTTAATAATATAAATATTTCTTTTATTATTAATTTTTAAGCTATTATAAATAGTTATTTATATTTTTATAAGTTTTATAAGTTTATTTTATATATTTAAAGTTTATAACTTTTTAAAGAAGGTTTTTAATATTATAATATATAAAGTTTTATTTATAATTTTCTATTTTATATTTATTTAAATATAGTTATTTATATTAATAATATCCTTATAGAGTTTATAATAAATTATAAATTTAAATAATAGATTATTTTACTTTTATAATTTTTATTAAATAGTTTTATTATAATAGTTTTTATTAATTTATTTAAAATATAATATTCTTTAAACTTTATAATAATTTAAAAGTATTTTTATATATATATTTTATTTTTAATATATTATTTAATTATAATTATTTATATTTTACTATAAATTTTTATATTATTTTAAAAAGTTCTTTTAAAATATAATATATTAACTTATATATTAAATTAATAATTTATATTACTTATTTTTAAATTTTAAACTATAATTTATTTTTTATATTTTAATTTAAGTTATTTATACCTTTATAAATTTAAATTATAGAGTTTAAAGTTAATATTAATAAAGTTAAATATTTATTATTAATTTTATTTTTTTAAATAATTTTAATCTCTTTAATATTATTATTAAGTTTATTAATAATTTAAAAATAATACCTTTTATAACTATAATAATCTTTATATATTTTTATAATTAAGGTTAGGTTTTATAGTTTTAAATAAAGATCTATTTAATAGTTAATATAGTTTTAAATTTATAAATTTTAACTTAAAGAAGGAACTTATAATTTTAATTATTTTATTCTTTATCTTTATAAGTATTATACTTTAAGTTTTTATTAAATTTATTAACTATATTAATTAATTTAAAGTAATAAAACTTTTAATTATTAAATTTAATATTATATTATAAATAATTTTATAATAAAATTATAATTCTTAATAATTTTATATTATTTATTTTATTCTATAAATTCCCTATATTATAAGGGTTAGTTTTATTATATTAAAGTAAATACCTTAAATATTTACTAAAATAGTTTATAAATCTACTATAAATTTATAGTAAATTATTATTTAATAGTAAATTTATTATAAATTAACTATTTATTATACTTTTATAGTAAACCTTAATTTTATATTTAATAAACTTATATTTAAAAGCTTAAATTATATAATAAATTTTAATATTTATATATAATACTTATTAATATTAAATTAAGAAGTTTATAGTTTATAATAGTTTTAATTTTAATAAATTAATTTATATTAAAACTAAAAATATTAATTTAAATTAATTAAATATAATTAAATATAATAATATAAAAATATTTTTAATAATAAATAATATTATAAATAATTATAAATTAATTAAATATTATTAAATATTATATATAAAAATATTATATTTTAAATTTTTAAATTAATTAAAATAAATAAAAAAATTATTATTATTTTAAAAGTTTTAATTTTATTTTATAAATAAATATTATTTGATTAATTAAAATTTTATTTAAGCTTTATAATATAAAAGTTTAAAGTTTATATTAAATAAAATAGATTTAAAAAATAAGGTTACTTAAGAAGAAAGAAAGAAAGAAAGGCTACCTTTTAAGCTTTAAAGTAAGAAATAATAATATAAGAACTTTATTAATAAAAGGACTTATAAAGACCATATAAATCTTATTTACTATTTTTAATATTTAATTTTAATTTTAACTTTATTATATTATAAATTAAAGTATTTAAAAATAATTATTTAATTTATTATATTTTAAATTAAAATAAAATCTTTAAATAAAATAATTATATTTTATTATTTATATTTATAAATTTAATAACTTTATTATAAATAAATAAAAATAATTATTAATAATAGAATTTATAATTATATAAAAATAAATCTTTATTTAAAAAAGTTATTAATATTTAAAATAATTAAAGATTATAATTCTAATTTAAAATATATTAAAGTTTATAAACATTTTAAATTTAAATTTATAAATTCTTTTAAATTTAACTTTTATAATAAAATTATATAAAAATTATAATTATAAAACTTTTAATTTTAAATTTTAAATAAAATTATTAAAGTTATATTTATTATTATATTAAAATTATTATTTAAAATAAAATTTTAATTTAAAATAAAATTTAATTTATTTATATTTAAATAATAATTTCTTTTCCTTTATAATTTTTATTTTATTAATAATATAATTATTTAAAACTTTAATTAAATAAATTAAAATAAAATTATTAAAATTATTATTATTATTATTATTATTAAAATTTATAAAGTTATTATTTATAATAAATTTAAATTAAAATTTAAATAATTTTAAAATTATTACTTCTAACTTTAATTTAAAAAATAATTATTTTTATTATTTTATTATTTTTATTCTTTATAAATTATTAATTTAATATAAAAGTTTATATTTTAAATTAACTTTAAATTAATTTTAATATTTTATATAAAGTTTCTTTTATTTAAATAACTTTATTAAAATTAAAAATATTTTAAATAAATTATTTTATTAATATAAATATTATAATAATAAAAATATTTTTACATCTTTTAAAATATTTTATATTTAATTTTATAAAGTTTTATCTTTAAAGTATTTTTAAAAGTTATAATTAAACTTTTATTATATTTAATAAATTAAATATAATTTATTAAAATATTAAAATATTAAAAACTTATAAAGATTTATAAAATATAAATTCTTTTTTAAATAATATATTAAATAAATTTTAAAATAAATACTTAAATATTAAAAGAATTAATATTCTTTTAAAATAATAATAATATTTATATTAATTAATTTAAAAATTAAAATATTTAAATATTTAAATTAATATTAAAATAATTATTTTATAAGTTTATTTTATAAAATATTATTTTAAAGAAAGTTATATTAAAGGATATTATTCTATAGAAGGTTATTCTAAAAGCTTATTCTAGAAGGTTATCCTAGGAGGTTATTCTAGGAGGTTATCCTATAGGAGGTTGACCTATAGGAGTTTATCCCTTAGGGCTTAGGTGTACCCTCCATTTTTGCGGGTGCGAATATCCGATCTCTTTACTCAATTTGCCCCCCTCCCCCCGGTAGGGTCTGTCTAAACCTAGGACTTGAGATCAATGGTACCTGAAACCCCAATCATGAGACCACTACCTAGGTATTAGTAGGGGACTACCACATACATACTCGTTGTGAATTACCCCAGATGGGGTTCAGAGTCAGACTGTGAGGCGGTGGCATATAATCCCTAAGTTGTTTCCACAGAGGCCACGCGCAAGACGTCTGCCGGTGTACAACAACTCGTCACAAGAGAATTTAGGAGCCCGAGTTTGGGCGCAATTATAGATTGCAATAGGCATCCACTCGAGCATATTCTACGCCTCAAAAATTAACTGTGTGGACCCCTGGATAGAAGAAACGAGAGGTGAGTGATATGGCTACGAGAGAGCTATTCGAAAACTTTCGGGAAATCCCCCGGGGCCCATTTCGTCCTCTTGTCAGGCAAGCTGTGTAGGGCACATAGCCTCAAGTGCTGTTTTCAAGCATTGATATAGATTGTCAGCGGCGACGATAATTTGTCGTACGATTGAAGGAGAAACGGATATTATGTAGCCCATCCACTGAGACACGGAAGACTATAATAATTTTGCCATCACTGCTGTCTGCCCCACGTGCCAACTGAGCCGAAATTGGAGCACTGAGCATATGCCGCATCGAGGATGAAGGCTCAGGTGACACCGGTGGGTCCTGTGCTGGGAACGAAGAAACAAACAGAATTTTTGCGACAGACACGACCGCCGGCAAAGTCCAAGAGATAGCTTCAAGAAACATATAGAGAACCCTGGCAACCGATTAATGAAAGGAGTGGACAGAAAACCCAAATCCAGAAATGAGTCTGGCAGAGAAAGAGTCGTCGGGACCAGCGTGCCCGCAATTATGGGAAAGGAGGGAGAGAGTTCGGGTAATTCTAGGAGTGTCAAGTTAGCTACCAACTGATCCCCGCGATCCCTCTCCCGGATCTTTGATTTCACAGAGATGTCTTACCATGAAATGTGTAGGATCGACACCATTGGGTGGTGTCATGTTCATTGTATGGCGCCCAGCCATCCCATTGACCTGGCCTGAAGGGGCCCACGCAGAATCGAAGCCTCCAACGTAGGTCACCTGTGGAGTGACAACCGGCGATGAGGCCGGCTTGATTGGCCGCGCCTTCATCTTGGTGCGGCCTAACGCCTTATTTCTGTGGTGATCTAGGACCTTCTGGCTGACCTTGTGGCCGTCTCGCAGGTGGTCATACAACTTGTCAACACGGGGCAAGGTCCGGTCCTCGCACAGCCCGCAGTGGAACCCGGTTCCAGTATTTGAGTTGATGTGCCTTGCTAGGGAGGAGTAACGACCAAATGAAGTGTCGCATGAGCACGTAAAGGCTGAGTGTCGAGTGGCCTTTGCGTGGCTCTCAAGTTCGGAGTTGCTCTGGAAGGAGATGTTGCAGACCATGCAGCAGTGCGCCGCGGGAGCTTCCCGTCTGGTGTGCTCCGTGAAGCTGGACGACAGAGACTCCGTGATCCAGTGGGTTTCTTTCCGTGATTTCCTTGGAAGATTCGTGGTTAGTCAATTCCATTGGGCCCGGGAAAACAACCAATCCAGATACATTGAGGAGCATCTCAAAAAGGCATTGTCAAAAAGCAAGTTGGTGAAGGTGTCCTGGAGTCAAACGCCACAGCCATTCTTCATGGTCTCGAGTCCCCATGATGAATAAATTTGATCGGTCCCCCGTAACATTTTCGAATCATGCTCCTGGAACGAGAAAAAGAAAACCTGGTACCCTTTGACGGTGCGACGAGGTCTGATCAGAGAAGCACTGGCTCTTGGTTGGTGTCCGGATTCAGCACTAGCTGGCTCATCCCCATGGCAGTGACTCGATCAGAATCAGACGATCTGAGACATACAAAAGGCCTTCTCGCCACGAAACAGGTCAGGGCAGCTGGGATATGCGCTGCCGTGACGGTAGGAAAGTGATTTGACTTCGGGCACCGGCATGCCAAAGCCACGCACAGTCTGGTTGGTCCTGTAGATCTCCATTGTGGAATGCCATGCTGATTTGCAATGGACTTCAGAGATCAAGGGGGTCAAATAGGATGGACATCCTATCATGAGCCTTGTGAAGTATGTCCATGGTTCGATTCAAAGTATGAAACGGTACACGCCAAGGTATGGCAGAGGTCATATCAATAGGAGGTGGTCTGGCTCCACGCTAAATCAAGAAGTCCTTGGCGGGTGCCAATATGAATGAAATGCTGTCAAGCAAATGGTTCCAAGTGGGATGAGGTCCATACCCTCGGCTTCGTGGATGAAGCAGAAAAAGGCCATGTCTGGCTGAGTCTTTCACGGCCAATCCTGGATAATCCATGGAGTCCAAGCCGGGTGGCAGGTTCAACGGGCCATGAGAGATTGATCCGTAGGCAAGGTAATGCCCTTGCGACAAGAAGGCAATTCAGAGAACTCTGTGTCCATCTAAGCCACAGAAAGCTGGATATGGCCAACGATGAGGTCGATCTGATCCATGGCGGGACCATAAGCCCCGGGATTTCAGTCCGTCCTGGGAAATGACCATCCGGGCGGTCCCTGTGTCAAACGCAGCCAGTTGGCAACTCAATTCACTCACAGAAGCATACGAAACGTCCGAGGACAATCGAATGACTGCGAAGAGTCACATTGGTTGTAACTTCTGTTGCTATCGCTCCCCAAGGGCCTGACAAGCCCGGAGTGACAGTGATTGCACGGGGGAGAAAAGCAGATTCAAAATAGGCAAGGTGGACAAAACAACAAATGTGCGTCTGGGCAAAGGATGGGTTGGCCATAGAGAACTCTTAACTTACGACGCGTGTGATGTGGCCGGGGTCCTTGGGTTCTGTTGAGGGCGGTCGAAGCTGGTACTCGTGCCAACCGGCCAGGAATAACTTGGCGTTGACACAAGGTTGTTGGTGGTGTACCCCTGATTATAAGGATCGGTGCGTTGGGCTGTAGGAGAAACCGCGTTGGCGTTGGTAGCATAGCTTGAGAGGGCGTCATCCACGAAGCTATGATCGTGACGGCCACGCGGAGATCTGGGGAGGTAGGCCTGGTTGTGTGAATTCATCTTCGTTGCGTATCTGTGGCTTTGTGGACAAGGTCATTCTCGAATGGAAGAGTTCTGTGGGGACGGTCCACGGCGTCACTCTCCCCACGGGCGTCAGGCCACTTCAAATATCAGAGCTTACAAGCGTGGATGCCCAACCAAGCCGCACCCAGGATGGGGACAAGCGTCATTTGGGGGCCGTAGGGTGCAACAGGACATCAGACGCCGGGGTGCTCGGGGTGCTCCAGACACATGTAGTTGAATGAGACTCGGCATGTTGTCGTTCTTCAATTTAGTAGAAAAAGTCCAGGGCCAGTCGCGTTGGATCCTGAGAACCACTCCGCCGTGTTGCCACGGGCCCAGGTGAGCAATTAGACCACGTATTCCCTCGGACAACGTCATCGCCGGGTGCGCAACACGGCGGGCTGTGGTAACAATAGCGGTTCGCGCACCAGATCTTACTGATAGAGGAAAGAGGCAACCTAAGAGGCAACCTCGAGCGAAGGGTGCTTTGCGCGAGCAGATCGTCTCGACGTGGTCATGCAGTATCTAGTTAGATGAGGCCGTTGCCCTGAGGCACTCATCGCCTGCGCGACTGATAGGGTGCACATCGTTTCGGGTCTGCCTGACCGTGTGGTGAGCCAGCCCAGAGCAGACAAGCGCTGACATGTGGTCCAGTCACCGCCACTTGGCAGCGCCTCGCGGGCCAGGGTGCGATGCAGGGTGAAAGGGTGATGCCATGGCCGGCAGGGGAAGGTAAGGCAGAGACGATTAGGCGTAATCGACAACCATTTTGATGTCGTCTGTGTCGTTGGTGCTTCTCAAGTCAACCTATCCCGAGGGGAGTACAGCGCATGATATGAGAAGTACCTTCAAATTTTCCTTGCTGCCCTTAGTCAGAAGAGATTTGAGAAAAGCTCGGAACTTGCATCCACTGTATTGGTTCAACAGCCGGTTAAATCCCGTTGCTGTGATTCGAGCACGTTTATCATATTGTCAGATGCCTTCAAATGTTCACAGTCCACCAACCACTTATAACCAAACGGACCATTTCCCAGGCAACATCTCTTTGATCGCTAAAATTGCTACTACAAGCTACCAGGTTCCTCAACAAGAACCAGGGGGGATTTTGGGCTCCGGTATCCTGGCCACGCGGGTGTGAAATCCTGTCTCTAATGAAATGGCAACATTACAGTGTCGGTTCTTGGCTGCTATCGTGCTGCCGTCGGAATGGGCTACAGATGCAAAAACATCGGAGAACTGTCGATCTAGATAGCCCCAGAAAGATTGGATGGAACACTGGGAAAGGGAAAGACTTACAATATCCACGCCGTCAACTCCGTTCCGCTGAGCCACGGGCATGAACCGGGGAATTTGATCCTCGTTGTACCATGTCAGCCAGGTCTCCTGGTCGCGTGACTGGTCCAGATAGTGAAGTACGGTGACCTTGAGCATGGGGATTTGAGGTGCAGCCATTTGGAACTAGGTTTTTGGTATGAAGCAGAGCCGGGAAGGTTGAGAAGATGAGCAGACACTTCACTCGGCCACCAGATCAGTCCAGAACACGGCTCCTTTTACCATCTTCTCGGGCTGCTGGTTGTTCTGGGACCGAGTATCCCGGACCTCGGGACAGGCTCAAGTCTGCCTATTCCCACATTTGCAGGTAGAGAAATTTGAACGTGCCCGATATAATCTAGATCGGCTAGGGCGGCACAGTTGATGGTTGGGTGTACCACAGAAGCAAAAGCTTGAGACTGGGCCGATGCATGTGTTGGTGGATGATGCGTTGCGGGCTGATCCTTCTGGGCGAGCAGTAAGGGCATCGGATGGGATCTTACGGGATAGACACTGCGGCGCAGCGCTTGTTTTCCGCCTCCAAGGCCAAAGGATCCCTCCCACTTTCTTTGGACTTCAAGCGGAGCTCATCACCAAAAAGTACGACGTCACGACAACAACTCACAGACCATTCCGAAGGTCCTATCTATCAAAAATGGCCGGTCTCGCCCTCTTGAGCGTCGCCCCACTGCTATCAGCAACGGGATCGATCATGTTCACAATCTCCGAGGACACCTTCATCCGGCCGCTCATGCGCACCGCCCCGACCCCAGCCGAGAGGGAGGCCCGCCGACACGCCAATCGCATCCTTCCAAAACTCATGGGCTTCACCCGCAACGGTCTCGCCATCATCTTCACTACCTACCCTATCAGCGTGAGTAGTCTATCAGCCTTATCTTTATACCACCATCTATCTGCCTTCATTGGGTAGAAAAAGAGAGAAGCAAAGTGCATAGTTGAATGATGAGAAGGAAACGGCGCTGATCAATCTCTGCATCATTGTGGATTGCTACAGCCGCCGCGAACCTGGCCCGGCATGATGGCGCTGTGCAGCTGTCTGCTGACGCCGCCAGGAACCCGCGTATCGCGGCGGGCTTCTACCTGGCGGGCCTGATTTTCAGCGTGCTGCACATGCCCTTTGGGCCGAGTGCGATGCGGCTGCTCGAGTCGGTCCGTGAAGACAAGGGCGCTGCTGACGATGTTACCCGTGATAATACGGCTAGCATGCTGTCGTGGCTGCGTATCAACACGATCAGGGCATGTGTAGCCGATTTTCCGTCCTGGGCGTGCTACTTTATGGCTTTTATATTCGCTAGTTTTTAGATTACTTTCCCTTTTTATGAAGACCTAGATATGCATTGTATGTACCTATTAATGTTATAATCTATTAAAATACTCTATTTATTAATGGCTTTATATCTATTTATAATTTAATATAATTATTATTTTAATCTTTTAAATATAAGGTATTAATTTATATAACGAATACTTATTTTTTTTAATTTTTATAATATTTTAATAAGTGTTTAAAGGATTTATTTTTATTTATAAAAGGGATTATTCTTTTTTTTTAAATAAATTTATAGTTAAAAGAAATTTATTTCTTTATTTTTATAGGTTATATTTTTAATATTTAATTAATTAAATTATAATAAATTTAATTTATTTATTTTAAAATTAATTTATTATATTAAGTTTATTAAGTTTATATTTAATTAAATTAGGTTTTTAATTATCTTTTAATTAAATTAATTAAATTTTATTTTTTAAATTAAAATTAATAAATACTTTAAGTTATTTATATTTACTTTTAATATTATTAATTTTAAATACTTTTAATTATTTTATTATTATAAAATCTACTTTATTATAAAGTATATTATTTAATTTATTTTAATAAATAAATTTTAATTATATTATTTTAAATTATTTAAATTTTTAATTTTAATAAGTTATTATATAACTTTTAATTTTCTTAAAAATTTATAAATTAATTTCTTTATTAAAATTTTTTAAAATTTATTAAAATTTTTAATCTTACTTTTTAAAATTTTATTTTATAAATTTTTAATTAAATTTTTATAAAGAATATTACTTAAAACTTTAAATTTTTAATTTTTAATAATATTTATATTATTATTTTAATTAATTAATAAAATTTTAAATCTTTTAAAGTATTTATTAATAATATTTTAATATTTAGATTTTATAATTTATTTAAAATTAATATATATTATATTTAATATTTTAATTTATAAAAATATTTAAAAATATTTTTAATATTATTATAAAAATTATTATTATTATAATTTATAAAATATTTTTAAAATTTATAATTTTATTATTAAATATAATTTTAATTTATTATATTATATTTAATATAATTAAAAATTATAAAAATATTTTTAATTTTAAAATAAATAAAACTTTTAAAGGAAAATTATAAAAAAGTTAAAAATATATTAAATATAATAAAAAGTATATTTAAAAGTATTATTATATAAGGTTTTTAATTTATTTTTATAATATAAGATTTTTCTTTTAATAAAAAAGTTTTTAATTTAAATAATCTTTTATAAAGTTTTATAATTTTATATAATAAATATAATATTTTTAATTATTTAATATAAAAATTATTTATATTAAAATATAAAAGTTATAACTTTTTTATAAAAAAGGTTTAATTAAAAATAATTATAATTTATAAAATCTTTTAATTAATAAAATTATAAAATTAATATTTTAATTTATTTAATATATAAAAGAAATTCTTTATATATATAAAATATAAAAATATTATTATAAAGTTTTAAGATATTTTTAAAAAATTTATAAACTTAATAAATTTATTATAAAATATTTAATTCTAAAAGAATTTTAAAATATTTTTTAAAAGAATTTAATATTATAAAAGAATATTTAAATAAAGTTAAATAATTAATTAAAATTTAAAAATAAATAATATTAACTTTTAAATAAATAATTATTATTTAAATATTAAATTTATTTAATAATAATTATAAAAGTTTATATAAAATATTATATAAAGTTTAAAAATTTTTAAAAGTTATATATTTAATATTCTATTTATTAATTTAATAAATAAATTAAAAGAAAAAAACTTTTTTATAAAAATATTATTTATAAAAATAATAATAAAAAAAATAATAAAATATTTTTATTATAATTTAAAAGGGTATATTAAAGAAAATTATTATTTTTTAATTTTAATAAGATATTAAAAGTTTAGAAAATAAAAAATATTTATATATATAAATTAAATTTTAATAAATTAAAATAAAATAAAATAATTAATAAATTACTCTTTATAATTATTAAATTAAAAGGTAAGATATTAGTTTTTAATAAATTAAAGAATAAAAAAATTTATTAAAAGAAAATTTTAAAAATTATTATTATTTATATATTTTATAAATTAGTTATAAATAAAATAAATATAAATAAAATATTTAATAATTTTAGAAATATTAATCTATTAAGTTTTAAATAAAAGGTAAATATTATTTATACTTTTATATATTTATAATAAATGTAATAATTAATATAAAATATAAAGATTATATAGGAATTATATTTATAGAATTTATATTTAATAATAAAGTAAATATAATTAGTTTATATAATAAAAACTATTTAAAATATTAAAATTTATAAATAAAAGTTAAATAAAGTAAAATAAGTATAATAAATATTAAATATATTAAAAATAATATATTATTTTTAAATAATAATTATAAACTTAAAATATTAAATATATATTATATACTTTTATTAAATTTAAATATATTTAATTATAATATTATAAGTTATATTATATAAATTATATTAAAAATATAGTTAAACTTTATTCTATTAAGTTTAATAAATTTATAAATAAAGAATATAAGAAAATAATTTATATTATATTAAGATTAAAATATTTAATAATAATTATAATAATATATAAATAAATACTTTTATTATATAAAAAATAGTTTTAAATAATATATATTATTAATACTATTATTTAAATTATATAAATCTTATTTTATTAATATAAATATTTAAAAATAATAAAATAAATATTAAAATTTTTATTAAAATTTTATAAATTTTAAATATAATATTTATTTATAAATTAAATATATAATTAAATATATTAAAAAGTTTAAATAATAAAAATATAATATTTTTAAAAATATATAATAATATAAATAAATTATTTATATTTATATATAATAAATATAAATATTATATTTTATTTTTAATAAAAGATTAAATATTTATATAAATATTTATTAAAAGGAAAAATAAGGTTTTAAAATCTTTAAAGATTTAAAAATAAAAAAGAAAATAATAATAATAAATTTATTAAAAAGATTTTAATAATAAAATTAAATTTATTAATAAAAATTTAAATTTATATTTAATAAAAATAATATATATTATTTTACTATTTTATATATATAAAAGAATCTAATAAAATTATAAAAAATTAAATTTTATTATAATAAATAAAGTTTAAAGTTTAATAATAACTTTTAATTTATTATATATATTATAAAAATATTTTTAAAACTATTATATATTTATATAATATAATTCTATATATTCTTTTAAATTTTAAAAATTTTTATAAAATAAAAATAATAAAATATTTAATATTAATAATATAAAATTTAAAGTTTTATAATTTATTATAATAATAATAAATATAAAATTAAGTTAAAAGTTAAAAATAAAAAAGTCTTTTAATAAATTATATTTTTAAAATATATATATATAAAGTTTGAAATATAAAATTAATAAATTTATATTAATATAAAATCCTTTTTAGTATAAGGTTAAAAGACTTATAATTATAATTTTTTAATTAATTTTTATTTAATTATATTATATTATTGTAACCTTATTTAATCTCTAACCTTATTTAAGTCTCTTTTTAAGCCTTTTTAATATTTTTCTTTTTAAGGGAGTTAAATCTAAAAAGGAGCCTTTAAGTTTAAGTTTAAAATTCTTATAGATTTTAATTTTCTTTAAATTAGGCTTATAATTTCTTAGTTTTTTTAGAAATATATTAATTATTTTAGATATTAATAACTTCTTTTTAAAGTAGAGGTTTATTTTTATATAATTATAGATTTAATTATTAATAGTTATTTTTTTTCTATAAAGCTATTAGAATTATAAACTTAGATAATAGAGTATAGTTACCTTATTTAAAGGTTATCTCTTAGTTTAGTAGGTTGGTTAAGTAACTGTTTTTAAGTGGTTTTACTTATAATATAGTGGAGTTAATAGATAGGTATTTACTTAAGTAGAGCTAGAACCCTTAGGGGAATAACAGCTTTTATCTTTACCTATTTTAGCTAACTTAAAAGGCCTAAGTTATATAATAATATTATATATAGTGCTTAATAATATTAAGACTAACTTATAGTTTATAATAACTTCAACCTTTAATAAGCTAATAATACTAATTTAAACTAACTAGATATAGCCTAATATACTAATATAAAAAGATATCTTCTAATAATAAATAGTATTATAGATAATTATAAAATTATTATAAAAAGTCTTATATAGTAAACTTAATTAAGTTAATCTTTAAAAGATATATTATATCTTATTCCTTTAAAATCTTAACTATTTATTTTAATTTAATAATAAAACTAAAAATATAAATAATCTATAGTTTATATTAATATAAAATATATAAATTTTAAAAACTTTTAATAAATTTAATAAATTTAAAAATAAAAATAATATTAAAAATTTTATAGAGAAAGAAATATTTATAAAAATAAAATTTAAGAAAAAGTTTTATAAGGAAGAGATATTTATAAAAATAAAAATAATAGTAAGAAGGTATAAAGAATTATATTTTATTAAAAATATTTATATAAATATTATTATAAATAATTTTAATAGTTTTTATTATTATAATAATTAATATTATAATTAAACTTTTAATATAAAAGAATATTAAATTTATTTTAAAAAATTATAATTTAAATTTATAATAAATAAAAGAATAATTTAAAAGAATAAAATTCTTATAAAATAATTATATTATTTAAAAATAAAAATAATATTATTTAGTAAATAAATATTAAAAAGAAATATATAAATAATTTTAATATAATAAAATTTAATTAAATAATTAATAAAAAATTATTAAATATAAAGTTAAATAAATTATTTATAATTATAAATAATAATTTAAAATAAATTTTAAAAACTTTTAATTATTTATAAATAAAGAATTTATAATATATTATTAATTATAATAATTAAGAAAGATTAATATATATATATATTAA